TCATTTTGAGAAAGCAGATTTTTCGCACCTGTAAACGACTATGAGGGCCTCTCTGTCTTAGTATGAGCTCTGTAGGCGCAGTTTTACTATCAAAACACTTGGCGGAACCATCTTCATGTCGACACGAAAAAAACAATTTTTCAGTTTTTCGAGAAATGCTTCGAGAAGCTCTCTCTTTCGACTCCGAGCACTCCAACGCGTGAAATGTGCTCTACGAGGTTCCCGGCGGTGACCAGGTTGACGGTTCACCGCCGGCGCCAGTTCCGGCGCGCCCCACAGCTAGTTAGCTCGAAAAAAAAGAACTGAACTTTTCACAACTTTTGCTCGGTTGAAAATTATTTTCTCGAAATTTGACAATTCGTTAGAGCTCTAGTATTTTTTCCCGTGATATTCGATCTTATTCCCGCTCGCCATCTTGATCTCAGCTCGATCGGGTAACTTTGAAGGCCAAAAAGCACAGTGGCGGGAACGGCCGATTCGAGTCATCTTGATACGCGCTGTCGGTTTTCGAACATAACTCGAGCTCTAGGGCAGCTACAGAGCTGGTAAGCACAGCTAATGCATGCAGAATGATCAGGCGCGTTCGCCTGTTGAACCCAGAGGCCTGAACTCGGTCTGCTAGCCGAGCTAGGTCCGCAAACCTATTCGTATTATTCGAGTCAACTTGAACGCGTTGTCGTTATTTTCAACTTAACTCGAGCTGTAGGGCAGCTACAGTGCTGGTGGGCACACCCATCGCATGCAGAATCATCTGGCGCGCTCGCCTGTTGAATCCATAGGTCTGAACTCGGTCTGCAAGCCGAGCTAGGTCCGCAAACCTATTCGTATTATTCGAGTCAACTTGATACGCGTTGTCGGTATTTTCTACTTAACTCGAGCTGCAGGCCAGCTACAGTGCTGGTGAGCACACCTATCACACTCAGAATAATCAGGCGCGTTCGCCTGTTGAATCCAGAGCTCTGAACTCGGTCTGCTGCGCGATCCAGACTCACGAAACTGTTCGTATTCTTCCAGTCATCTTGACAGCTACTGTCGCCGTTCTGCACCTAACTCGGGCTGCAGGGGGGCTGCAGGGCGGTTAATCACATGAATCGATTCGGAGACATGAAACGCGTCTGTCTGTCGCATTCAGAGGTCCGAACTCGGTCTGATACTTGAGTTGGGCTGAAAAATTATTCGTTCTCTGCAATTTTTTTTGACATTATGTGTTGTCAGGAAGCTCTACGAGTCCCCCGGCGGTAACAAAGGTTGACGGTTTACCGCCGGCGCCCAGTTATTGCCGCGGTTGTTGCAAAGGCCCCTGGGAGACCATTGGTTTGATGAGGTCCGTTGGAATCATAACTCGTAGAGCTTCCCTTAGCTAGTTATAGCTGGAAGCTAAGAGTAATTCCGGCGTAACTCGTAGAGCTTCCCTTAGCTAGTTATAGCTGGAAGCTAAGAGTAATTCCGGCGCGTCCCAGAGCTAGTTGGCCCGAAAAATCTCGACGGAACTTTTGACAACTTTTGCTCGGTTGAAAATTTGTTCTCGAAATTTGACCATTCGTTAGAGCTCTAGTATTTTTTCCCGTGATATTCGATCTTATTCCCGCTCGCCATCTTGATCTCAGCTCGATCGGGTGAATATTACTATCGAAAAGCACGGTGGCGGGATCGGCCGTTTCGAGTCATCTTGATACGCGCTGACGGTTTTCTGAACATAACTCGAGCTTCAGGACAGCTACAGAGCTGGTAAGCACAGCTAATGCATGCAGAATGATCAGGCGCGTTCGCCTGTTGAATCCAGAGGTCTGAACTCGGTCTGTCAGCCGAGCTAGGTCCGCAAACCTGTTCGTATTATTCGAGTCAACTTGATACGCGTTGTCGGTATTTTCTACTCAACTCGAGGTTTAGGGCAGCTACAGACTGGTAAGCACTCCTATCGCACTCAGAATGATCAGGCGCGTCCGTCTGTTGAATCCATAGGTCTGAACTCGGTCTACTAGTCGAGCTAGGTTCGCAAACCTATTCGTATTATTCGAGTCAACTTGATACGCGTTGTCGTTATTTTCTACTTAAATCGAGCTGTAGAGCAGCTACAGTGCTGATGAGCACGCCTACCGCACTCAGAATTATCAGGCGCGTTCGCCTGTTCAATCCAGAGCTCTGAACTCGGTCTCTAGCACGATCCAGAGTCACGAAACCGCTCGTATTCTTCTAGTCATTTTGAGAGCTACTGTCGGCGTTCTGCACTTAACTCGGGCTGGAGGGAGGCTGCAGGGCGGGTAATCACAGGAATCGTTTCGGAGACATCAGACGCGTCCGTCTGTCGCATTCAGAGGTCTGAACTCGGTCTGATACTCGAGTTGGGCTGAAAAACTATTCGTTCTCTATAATTTCTTCCGACAGATATGTTTTCAGGAAGCTCTACGAGTCTCCTCCCGGCGGTAAGAAAGGTTGACGGTTTACCGCCGGCGCCCAGTGCTGGAGAGCTAGTTGGCAAGAAAAATCTCGACGGAACTTTTGATGACTTTTGCTCGGTTGAAAATTTGGTTCTCGAAATTTGACCATTCGTTAGAGCTCTAGTATTTTTTCCCGTGATATTCGATCTTATTCCCGCTCGCCATCTTGATCTCAGCTCGATCGGGTAACTTTGAAGGCCAAAAAGCACAGTGGCGGGAACGGCCGTTTCGAGTCATCTTGATACGCGCTGACGGTTTTCTGAACATAACTCGAGCTTAGGGCAGCTACAGAGCTGGTAAGCACAGCTAATGCATGCAGAATGATCAGGCGCGTTCGCCTGTTGAATCCAGAGGTCTGAACTCGGTCTGTGAGCCGAGCTAGGTCCGCAAACCTGTTTGTATTATTCGAGTCATCTTGATAGACACTCTCGGTTTTCTGTACTTGACTCGAGCTTTAGGGTCGCTACAGTGCTGGTAAGCACACCTATCGCACTCAGAATCATCACGCGCGTTCGCCTGTTGAATCCGGAGGTCTGAACTCGGTCTGCTAGCCGAGCTAGGTCCGCAAACCTGTTGGTATTATTCGAGTTATCTTGATAGACGTTCTCGGTTTTCTGTACTTAACTCGAGCTGTAGGGCAGCTACAGGGCTCATTGTCACAGACATCGATGGGAAATCACCAATGGCACGCGTCTGTTGAACCGAGAGCTCTGAACTCGGTCTGCTGGCCGAGCTAGGTTCGCGAAACTGTTCGTATTGTCTGAATGATCTTGAGAGGTGTCTCAATTTTCTGCACTCAACTCGTGCTGGGGGAGGGCTACAGTGCTGCAGGTCACATCTTTCGATTTGCACACATCAGGCGCGTCTTTCGGTCGATTCCAGAGCTCGGAACTCGGTCTGCTGCTCGAACTAGGTTCGCAACACTATTATATTATTCGAGTCGATACTGTCGGTTTTCTGCATTAACTCCGGCTGTAGGTGGGCTTTAGGGCTGGAATCGCATGAATCGTGGTCGCATACAGAGGTCTGAACTCGGTTTGATACTCGAACTGGGTTGCGAAACTGTTTGTTTTTTGTTAGCGTTATCTTGAGAGGTCTGAAATCGCTTGGGCTTAAAACAAAGTCGTTCTTTGGAGTTTTTTCCCACAGTATATATTGTCAGGAAGCTCTACGAGTCCCCCGGCGGTAAGAAAGGTTGACGGTTTACCGCCGGCGCCCAGTTTTGCCAACGACGAATGAGAAGCCAATAATCTAGTCATTCCTTTCCCGCAGCCCGTGGCAGCTGCTGCCGCAGCTCGGGCTGCCGAGGCGCCTCTGGACGCAGCAGGCGACCACGCCGCCATCGAGGATGGCGCGGCGCCCGATCCAGGGGGCGCGCCCGAGGTCGGTGGTGGCTGCGGCCGAGCCCCTGCTGCCGAGTTGCGCGTCGATGTCAGCGTTTACCGAGAGGAAATGGATGTTTCCCAGAAGGGTTCACACGCTTGGGCCGCCAGTGGGAGCATGCCCGACGACCTGAAGCTTGCTCGTGTGTTTTTGGGTGCGTGTGAGCGGTGCGTGCTCAAACAGTTGTCAGTGACGGGTGTGTCTTGGGAGAGGCGGCAACAACTCAAACAGCTGCGGTCTGGGGATCGTTCGTATCCGATTTGGGAGTCTTACGATGGGAACATAACAAAAGAAGGCTTCGCTGTTGCATCTGACATGGCGCTGTCGCCCGATGCATGGGCATTTCTCAGCAATCATACCGAAGACATGCAACTTTTGGTGTATCTGGCTGGGTCGCGACTGGGGGGGGTTGCACATGTATTTGAGAGTTCGCCACGGAACTTGGCCGTACAGAACATTCGACACATTGCGTTCCGATGATTCCCTCAATGCTTTCGTTGCTGCCAAAGATTGCGAGTTGGATGATTAGTCGTTGAAGTTCAGAAACGCTCACCGCCTGCGCGGCCCGTCGAGCCCAGCAGCCCAGTGGGAACTGTGGTGCGCCATCAGCGACACTGATACGGCATCCACCGAGCGGCTGCACAAGGCGTGCTCAATTCCGCGTGTGGTCCCACACGGTCGACCTACCATCTTTGTCCGCGTGGTTTTCTTCGAGGCAGTGCCGCGCTTTGGATTCCCAGGTGCACTGCTATGGCGGAGGAGGCGATTCTGCAGCTGCGCCGCCGCTGCGGCGCCAGGTCCGCCAGGCGGGCCTCGGCGGAGGCGCCTCAGCGCCAGGCAGCGGAGCCAGTGGACCTGGAAGGCCTTCCTCCACGAGCGCGCCTGCGGGCGGCGTGTCACCGCTGCGGTCTTGGCCGAGCTGTCGCAGGTATCATGCTTTGGACCCAGAATCTAAACGTTGGTACCAGGAGATGGGCGGCTTGGCGGCCAACCTCTGGGAAGCTGGCTGGGATCATCCGTTCGGCCCCCGCGCGTCGAAGAACCGCAGGCGCGTCGGCAGCTTCTGGAGGTTGGCTGCCCAAGCGACCCGCTTGCAACTTGTTGACGGCGCAGTGGGCCCTGGTGCAGATTGTGCTTCCGCGTCGGCAATCATGGTTGCAGCGGGGCGCATTCGCAGAGGCAGTTCAGCAGCGCAGGGCAGATGCCAGCTCGGAAGTTGAAGTGCATGCAGCGCTGGACAGGAATCGTGAGGAGAGCGCCTCTGGGCTTGCGAATGCTTGGGCGCCGCTCCGCAGTACATCCAGCAGCTCCCTCACTGTTCAATCGCACCACGTGCCCGTCGTGTATTGGCGGCCCCCAACGTCATTGGCAATCGACGCCGCAGAGCAGGCATTCTTGAGAGTAAACATGAAGGAATCTGAGAAGAAGTGGGCTGACGACCACATTGTGATCGAGCACGACAGCTGCAGGCCCCTGGGCAACGTGCCTGTCGTGCGGCGGCGGTGCCATGAAGCTGGGCAGTGCGTCTGCAGCGAGCCTCGGTCGCGTCTTGACGATCTGGAAGGCCGCCTGCGGAGAGCTTTGTCCCATGCTGGGTCGATACTTGCCGACGCCCAGAAGGCGTGGCGGAATACCATTGACAGGGGGAAGGTTGTCTTGGGCATCCAGTGCTATCCCCGCGCTGGCGCGGGGTCTGGAGCTGTTCTTGTCGATGGCGATGGTGCCCCGAACGATGCTGACATGCTGTTCTTCCACCTGTCGTGCATCTGCCACGGCGGGGCCATGCCGTGGGCTGCTGGGTTTGTCAAGCTGGACCGCGATCCCAGCGGTGATCGGGCCCTGAATCGTGCTGCGTTGCAGGGGGGGTGTCGGGGGCGTTGCCTCGGGGTTTCGGGCGTCTCTGAGTGGCCACGCAGCGCGGCTAGTTCGCGAACTGGGGGGCGGGGTCGTGTTGGCCCGTGGGTTTGCCGTGTCAGCAGGATTTGTTCGTTTCCAGCGCGTTCGAGCGCGAGGTGGCCGTGAGCCCATTGCAAAGGCCACTTGGGGATGTCCCGATGCCGCGGGGCAGCGCGCCCTAGGCGACAGACCAGGCGACGAACCGCCGTGTCTGGGAGTGACGCCTTCCCTCGACAGCCCGCCTGGGCAGCTCGGCGAGCCTTGCACGCTTAACGTTTGGGGCATGCTCGAGTCACTGGACTACGGGGCGGCCCATGTCGATGTCACGTTCCACCATTTCGTGTCCTCCCCCGTGGGCGTTTTGAACGTCGACCCGCGCCGCCAGCGCATTGCCAAGTACCAGGTCGACCCAGTGGATCTCTGGAACTTGCCCGCCGCGCCCAAGCTTCGCAGGAAGCCTCGGCAGCTAGGCGGTCGCCGTCGGGGGCCCTGCGCCAAGCGACCCCGCGGGGATGCCCCGCTGGCGGCCGAGGACGCGGAGGGCGACGATGAGGCAGGCGGCGGCACCAGCGGTGATGATGACGATCGCATCTTCGATGAGGAGGGCGCCGAGCTCGAGAGCATCTCCTCGAACCCGCCGCTCGAGGATGCCGACGGCGGAATCTCGACCGACGAGTGGGCCATGTTCGGTTGGACCGATGAGAGCTCTGACTCCGACGACCAGGCGGCGCCACTTGATGGCAGCCGCGATGCGGGCGGCGGTCCTGGCGGCGCAGCCGATGGTCCCAGCGACAGCGGCGGGGGCGCTCCGCCGATTGCCGAGCCCGGCCTGCCTGATGAGGTCCAGGAGTCCATGGTCGATGATGCCCCCCCAGAGCCCCCGCCGCCGCGGCTGCCTCATGAAGGTCCTCGCGGACACGCCGTTGAGTTGCGAGTCCCTGGCGGCGTGCTGAAGATGTATGGCGATCGCTTCGTCGCGGAGTGCAGGGGCTGGGGGCACCCAGGTTGCAGCCTCCAGAGGACGTGGAGGGGCTCCGAGAGGCCGAGCAGGGCTGGGCAAGGCCGCCCCCTTGGCCTTCTGCGCGCGTGGTTGGCGCACGCTCGGCACAGCCCCGACATGTCGGGGTGGGGCCACGTCCACCTCCTCAGGCCGTCCCTCGAGCAGCGCCAGGCCGCGCGGGCGGCACTGGAGGCGATGCCAGAGGCCGCGCCTTTTTTGGCGATGGAGCGGGCCCAGCGGCCTGGAGAGCCCGCAGAGCCGCCCGTTGCCCCGTGAAACGAAAAGGACACACACACAAGACCCACATGGGACCCAAATAGGACCCACATGGGACCCAATAGACAAGGTGCCCAGGGCGTCTGAGATGTCGGGGGTGCCTACTATGCCTGGGGCCTAGGACCTAGGGTGTTAAGGGCGTCTTGGGGGTTCAGCTTGGAGGGTGTCTTGGGCGTCTAGGGCCTAGGGTGTTATAGGCGTCTCGGGGCCTCAGCGGTTCTGGCGGTGAGGTAGGGCCAACGCCAACGTAGAAACGAACCAACATATTCGTTTGCACCAGGAGGTCTTTCAGATTCGCGTGTAAGTTGCCCGCCAAATATGTTTGAGCCACAAGGGCCCAGTCAGCAATCACTCTGGCAGCACGCTTGTCCGCGCACGCTTCGCACATTGAGGCGCATCAGGCGACTTGGGCGCGAGGGATGGGGAGAGGGCGATGCTTCTCGCCGTGCGCCTGCTCCCTGTTGGCCCCACAGCCCCGTTGCCATGGGGAGCGCCTGCGATGTTGCGTGTTGGTGCTTGGACAAGGTTCTCGCCATGTGGGGGGATGGCGACAGGGAGGGTGAGGATTGAGGAGGAGTGGCGAGGAGGAGCTGGAGGAAAGGAGTTTGTGAGGTTCCGCACTGGCTTCGATGGGGCGGCGGCCAGTCACGCATTTACAGAAATCTACATACATATATGACGGCAGCGTGCTGCATGTAGTAAGCTATTCCTGCGCTTCGCGCGCTCCGCCTTCCCACTGTGGAAGTCGGCGGTCGATTGCCTGAAGATGCGTGGGAAGTCGGCGCATGCGTCCCACGCGCCCATCTCGGCGCACCCCTCACACGTTTAGTGGCCCCATCGGGTGCCCCGTCGGGGGCCCCAGTGCCACCGCCCGCATGCGGCACATGCGTCCACCGCGCACACTCCCCCCCCACGCGCATTCCGCCCCACACCCACCAACCTATCCACAACCACCCGCCCACCCAGCCACCCACCACCCGACCCGCCCGCCACGCATCCACCACCCACCCACCCACCCACCTCCCACCCACCCACCCACCACCCACCACCCACCCGCCAACCACCCAACACCCACCAACCACCCACCCAGCACCCACCCATCCACCCACCACCCACCACCCACCACCCGCCCCCCCCCCCCCCACCACCCGCCCCCCCCCCCCCCCCACGAACCACACCATCCACACCCCACCCCCACCACCCACCCAACCTTCACCCCCCAGCAACCCCACCACCCACCCACCCCCACCACCCACCACCAGCCCACCACCCACCCACCGCCTACCCACCTCCCACCCACCACCCACTCATCACCCCCACCACCCACCCACCACCCACGACCACCCGCCCCCACCACCCGCCCACCCACCCACCGACCCCCCTCCCCACCCCACCTACCGCCCACCACCCGCCCACCCACCACCACCATCCACCACCCACCGACCCACCACGGGACCCAACCACCACGGGACCCCCAGCACCCCACCCACCACCACCAGCCCACCACCACCCACCCAACCCCCCCACCACCCGCCACCCACCACCACCCACCCACACCCACCACCACCACCCCCACCCACCCACCACCCACCCACCACCCGCCCAACACCCGCCACCCGACCACCCTCTCCCCCCCCACGCCCACCCACCACCCACCCACCACCCACCCACTCCCCATTCATTTTCGGCAGCTCCCGCACACGATTCGTGGCCCACAGTGAGCTGCACTAGAAACGGTTTTGGACACTCGGTATTCACAAGTGCACCTGGTTGGGCCCTTCGCCAGGATATTTCTCACTGCGCGGTGTGGGGTCCTGCATGCCAGATTCTACTAGGCGTGGTAGCCTTGTATTTTTTTCTATGTCGGTGGTCTACTGGCCTGCCGACCAGTTGGCCTGACAACTTGCTTGGTAGATTCGGCCTACGACTTGCAAGGGAGGCCGAGTCTCCCAAGTTGCCCACGCGTGGGTTAGGAGGCCCAGGTGTGGGAGAAGGAAGAGGGGAATAGTCCCTGTCGGGACCAATTCCACTGGGCATGTGGCCCTGACAGCTCCTCGCAACCGCGCGGGGGGGCGTCAGCAATGCTCCTTCTCAAGCTGGATTGGGCGGTCGTCAACAAGCATGGTGGTTTTCGTTGCTGGCTTAGTTGCGGAGCTAACCAAACGGAAACCCAGGCAGGAAGGGGTCGGGGGATGGGTTCGGCCGTGGCGAGTTGCGCATGCGAGCGCAGTGAGTTCGGCGACGTGACCTTGCGGCATCCTAGTGCGCATGGCTTCGTCGCGGCGCTCGCGTTGGGTTGCTCGGGGCCCGCAGCGCAAATCGCGGGGCGCCGTCGGCCGCTGCCGCAATCGCCCCAGCTTGAACCCATCGCCACCGCGGAACGGCGCCGAACGCGCAGCGCCCATCACGCTCCCACCGCGGGATGTCCGTGAGCGCGCGCAAGCCATCACACCCCAGCAGAAAGCCATCGAACGACCATAGAAACGTCGCCAGGAGGCCACAGGAACTGGTAAAGATCGGCCAACGCCGATCGAGCACGTTCGGGGCCCAGGCCATCACAATTTTGAAAAATATCGGCCAAACCGATCAACATTTCGATGTTCTATCTAAGCCTACTAGGGCGGTCTGGGGTTGATGGTTCTGATGGGCAAACCAGGCCCCAACTGAGACCACCCTGTTCGAATTGCGGGGGGACTGCGATGTCTGAGTTGGGTGTTGGTCGACTATTATTGTACGCTTGTCCAAATCGAAATTCCACGCCGCCCCTCCTCAACCCTGCCCCCGCCCCCCCCACCGCGCCCCCTCTCAATGTAGGCCGCGTCAGCCCGCGCGAAGTCCCCAGCGCAGACCTCCCCTAATGAACGCCCCATTCGCCCCAAATGCAGCGCGCCTCCTCAACCTCGAATCGGCGCCCATGGCCAACCGCGCCACTCCATTCGTCATCTCTGTGCCCTGGTTGTTTTGAGTTCTGCGCGGCCACGTTGGTTAGTTGCTCGGCGTTTGCGTTGCGTCTGCAGCGCCGTTGCCGCAGAAGGCGGGCGCGGGCGATGCGATGGCGCAGTGCGCGCGCGTGTGTGTGGGGGGCGGGTTGACGGGGCGAGGTTGAGGGGGCGATGGTGGTGGCGGGCGGGTGGGTCGGCGGGCGGGCGGGCGGGGGCGGGGGCGATGGGGGGTCGCTCGGGCGGCCTTGGGCAGCGCATCGCGCGCTGCACTGCTTCGCGCCAAAAGCAAGGCCGCAAGCCCCCATGAGAGTTCGTCGTCATCTTCCCTGGCATCCACTGGGCAGGGCGGCGCTATGTGCAGGTGTCCTATGCCTCTACACTTCCCACCCCAGCGGAATCGCCCCCCCCCCCCAAGTTCTGTAGGGGGCGTGGGAGCGCGAGAGCACGGCGCGGCTACATCGCGCGCGCTGTCTGAGCGCTCCGCGCCGCTGGCCGCGTCGCAATTCAAGCGCACGCGGCTCGCGCCGAGCTGCGCGCGCATTCCAAACAACCACCACCGCGCGCAACGACCTAAACTTAACGAGCGGCCACGCCGACGGAACACGCGACAACGCGGGTCGCGCGCGCCGCGGCGCCGTGATTCTCATTTTTTGGAGCCAGCCAGGGGCTGCAGCACGCGGTTGGGGAGGAGCGAGGACCTGGCTTCGGCCGTCCCAACCCCCTCGCACGCCAAGCTGCGCGAGCCCCCCCCGCTCTGCCCCCCCTTTCCCCCCCTCCGCCCCCCCCCCTCCCCCCGACCTTCCTTCCGCGCGCGCCCCCCCCCCTCCCCGCGCGCGCGCGCGCGCCGTCGCCGCTATCACGCGCGCGCGCCATCACCACTACGCGCACACGCGCGCGCCAACTCCACCACCCCACTCCACCCTTGGCCCTTGGCGAACGCGAGAAGATAAGCGCCAGTTTCATTCGCTGGCGGACCGTGCCAGAACGCCTGCCCGAGCGTCTGGGCGTCGTTCGGTCAGCGCGCGCGCGAGCGGGCCGCCGTCGCGCAAGGGCGAGCTCGCACAGCCCCTCGCGTCAGCGGCCCGCGGCGCCGCGACCGCCCTTGCGTGCGCAGGTGCCGACGGCGAGACCGCTTATTGTGTGCCAGTTTTGAGGGAGCCCTTGTCAAAGTCCCCATTGCGCCGCGCAGCGCCAGCCTCCACCCTGGCCCCGCCGACTATCTCGCGCGCGCGCGCGCCGCTCCGCGTTGCTCACTAACTGCGCGCGCGCGCCCAACCGCTGCCGCCGCCACGTGCGCCGAGCCCCCTCCCCCCCGCCCCCCACGCGCGCACGCGTGGCTTTCCAGCGCGCGCGCGCGAACGCATGCCCGCACGCGCACGCTGGCATTAATCCCGCGCGCATCCGCGCAGCGCGAGGTGCTGCGGTTCGGGCTCGGCGGGCTTGGCCAAGTCGCCAAGTCCGTGCTCTTCCTCGCGCAGCCGAGGCTCGTGTGGCCACGCGCGCGCCGCGTGCGCGCTGTCTGCCGCGTAGGAAAGCGCGCGCAGGGGTGTCCGTCCTCTCCGCGCCTGGGGCGACAGATTCAATGCCATGGTGTGACCTTGGGCAGGAGCGCGCCTCCTCTGGGCGTCCACTACGTGGGGCGTCAAGGCGATTTGCGCCAGTGCGGGAGGGTGGTAGAAGGTTTGTACGCGCGTTCGCGCGCGCGTGCGCGCTTGAACTCGCGGCGTCGCGCGCGGGCGTGCAAGTGCGCGCGCCTGCAACCTTCGAGCAACGTGCGAGGCGATGCTGGGTTGCGTGGGATTGGCGGGTGGAGGTGGACCGGCTTGCGCTGGCGGGTGTTAACGTGCGCGTGCTCTCGGGTGGGTGGGTGGGGAGCGGGGGGGGGGGGGGGGCATGGCAGCGTTTCGTTCTTCGCCGCCATAGGGGCGAGCGAGCGCCAAGTGCAGCAACCGCGCTGGATGGAGCACATCAAGCGGCGCCCGCTCGACACCGCCGTGCGCGCCGATGCAGCGTTGGCGTGCCAACGCCACCCCACGCCTTGCCCTAACCAGCCTTGCC